CGCCGGGGTCGGCTGAAAGTTACCCCGGCCACGGCCGGGGTGGCCGGGGCAGGTTCTCCACCCATGGTAAGACGGTTAACGAGGAACCAATGCATTAAATAGAGAGGCAGCACTTTCGATTAATTATACTACCCCGAATACCCGCAATAAAGACGCCCGACCGAAAGTGACATGTCTATCGATTAAGTCGATACAAGCATATGCCGTGAGAGGTCATTTGCTAGCCATTTCCAGTGAGCTATTTTCAGGCAGCTTAATTCGCCGAATACCCCTCCTCAAGCTCAAATAACGCTCAAGCTGACTCATGTAACATCCCGCATTCAATACTCGCCTATTTCCGTCGCACGCGACACGTGTCTTCACCACAGATCAACGCTCCCAATCCAATCCAACTCTGTCGAGCGGATGTAACCGCGACCGCAGTACGGCTTTTGTGGGTCGGCCCGGCCCGGCCGCCTTTGCAGGCACGCTGCCGCAGCTCCGTGCGACGGCTTTGTCGGAGCTGCGGGAGCTCAAACCAGCGAGGGGGGCTGACACGTGGGCAGTAAATTTCGTGAGACGGGAGAGAGGGAGAGGGAGAAGGAGAGAGAAAGAGGGATAGAGAGCCGGCGAGAGAGTGACAGAGAAGAGAGAGAGAGGGTGGGAGAGTGGGAGAGAGAAAGAGAGAGAGAGAGAGAGGGTGGGAGAGTGGGAGAAAGAGAGAGAGAGAGAGAGAGAGAGAGAGAGAGAGAGAGAGAGAGAGAGGAGAGAGAGAGAGAGAGAGAGAGAGAGAGAGAGAGAGAGAGAGAGAGAGAGAGAGAGAGAGAGAGAGAGAGAGAGAGACGAGAGGGAGTGTGACTAGGGCCGAGGCTGAATCAGGTAGAGTGCGAATATGACTGAAAAACAGCAGCGTGACAGAGGGCAGATTGACGTGCTCGGCAACTAGCGGTCACTCACAATGCTCGAAGTGATGCATAACGCAATGCCCCGACACTACTGTGAAAGGTCGTCACAGAGGGTTTGACAGGTCGGGAGGTGAGGGGTCGGACCGTCATACCATCATACCTGCCACCGTCATACCGGTGTGACGGGGTCACTCAGGCGACTGACCCGCACGCATGCCGAGGCACCAGAGTGGGGGGTCGTGGGGGGGGGGGGGTGGAGGGTAGACGGGGGGACTCGATGAGCCGGCGGGTGGTGATCCGATTTACGATTTATAACTGTGCCACGCGGCGTTGCATCAGATGTCATTGGGGTTAACAACAGATGGATGACACTGCATGTCGTTCTCAACCTAAGAAACGTGTCACACACACCCGGGTTCGGAGCCGAGTGCTGATTGCCGCAGCGGTGCCCTGTTCAAAGGCTGGACCATTGAAACAGGAAACGGATTATGTCAATGTTTATCACGTAAGTGACAGTTGTATGGCTCTGGAAAAACCACGTTAAATTTCTTGGCGTTTCCCGTGTTCCTGCTAACATTATTCAGCTGCATACGGGTTGGTACATTATCATTAAACATCCAAGTGTACCTATAATTAGATAGACCCCATACTACCGTCACTTTGCGCTGCAATAAGTAATAATTATCAATAAACCATCAGCTTGATACGTCTAAAATATCCCTCACTACCAGAATCTGCGATCCTGCCGCGACTGCCGGAACTAAACTTCACTCGCGCTGCATCATTGCAAGCGTAGCGTAACAGGACATCCCGCGGCGACCCTCACTTAGCCGTACTGTGATTGTTTATACTGGCAGCCTGAGGACCGCAGCCCGCTGTGACGTCACACCAGTCCAGGAGTGACGTCACACACTGGGTGACGTCAGCGGCACGCAGGACTCCCCGGCAGACCGGTTCCAAGACCGATGGCGTAACTTCTGGCCGGCATATGGTAGTACCATGCTCGATGATCTTGTCATGTTCACTGTAAAAAAATGTCACGAGCCAATTCTATGACAAGGGATGGGTTACACGGTCGTCCATTGTACCTTGCTGTTATATATAGGGACATTATCAGCCTGAGGGTTGTTAGTTAAAGAGTGGCCTCGTGAAACAATTGGTTACAAACGGTAACCTAATAACTTAAATGTTTCCCTAACACCCCTTTCTGCTTATCAACAGATTTCGCGCTGTGTCGGAAAACTACGCATAGTCTCATAATTAAATCCGCCAGAAGCTTGTTGCATGCTAGTTACATGCGTGTTTCATTATCGTGTCATATTATTATTATGTCGGCTAATGAGGTACCACCCTGCACGTGCTTTAAATATAATCCTGCGCACACGCCACCTAGTCGGAAACTCATCATCGGACTAGTCCTGGTAGGGTTTTCGTGTTGCCGAATGAGGCGAAACGACTTTGATTCGGTAGTGCCTCATAAATCCCTGCTACGGTGAGCAGCGACAAGTCTGAGACTGCTTCTAAAACTCGTCCTTCACTTCCGGCGCGGGGCCGTCATTTCCGGCCGCCATTGTTCAGTTCTGCGGCTGCCGGCGGTTGGTGCGGTTGTGTTGTGGCACGGTGCGTTGTGAAGTTCTCGGGCTGGGATATTTCGAAGGTACGTTATATTGTATGATATTTACGTAGCAATGGGGGACATTTTATTTATTTTGTAATATTCTGAACACATGTTGCGTCATAGAATTCACCCCTTGACCGTTGTGGGCCACTGTTTCGTTTGAATTCCGACTGTTGGAAGACGGACTTTCTTTCAGTTGCTGTCTAGCCTTTTTTCCAAATGTGTAAGCTACACATATTGCCTCACATTGATTTATCTTATACAAAAGTCAGTTGATGTAGATAATAAAGCCATCCTCACTGATATTTTAAAATCAGCAGTTAATTTTCTTTTCTGTTTGCAGAGTTGCTTAAAGTTGTGGGAGACTGAGGCATGAAATATACCGGAAGCCAGCGATATTTCTGTTGGTAAGCCTCGCCCAGGAAAAAAAAAAAACTTGCTTGAATCTGCAAAGTATGGCAAATATTTGATGGACTGCACAGTGCACAATGTACCTGACATGGCAGGATCAACTTGCTCACTCGCCTGTTGTAAGTGCCGTTGCGTCAAAGCCCGTGGAAGTGCCCGATCGCGTCTCATGCAACCGTATGATTTTGTGAATGTTATTGGTGGTGACTCGAATCAGCTTTTGCACCACTCCGCTATGATATTGTAATATGTATATCTTTAGATATTTTGTATCGTATGCTAATAAGTAATAAACGTTATTTTTGTGTATGTTTTTTTTTTTTTTTGTAACGTGGCTGGCACGCTGTCGGGGCTGTCGTTGGCCGGGTCGTCCACCAGTCGGAGGGGCGGCTGGGGAGAAGGAGGGGGGGGGGAGGGGGTGACGCAATTGAGCTAGTATTACTACTGGGCAGCAATAGCAGGCGCTAGCTGGTTGGGTTACCAGGCGAGTCCTGCTAAGGAGCCTAATCGGCGTACCGATCTGCTGGTTTTGCCCTCGTTTTTAAACGAGGTACCGAATAACGAAACGAGGGGCTGACACGGGGGTGCTCGGTTTATGAGGCGTGGGCTTGTCATTTACTAACGAAACAAGCTTGTACCCTCTTACTAGCTAAATATGAGGCGATTTTTACACGTCGCTGCATGCTCATTTTTGCGCCAGCGGTTTTCCTACAAGGGGCTTGTAAGATTTTTTTACAGTGTTAAGTGCGGTTTTATCCAATGTGGAAACCGGATGATCCCATGAGTGTGCTGTGTGTTTGAACTCGGAATGCAGCGTCGTTTCCCAGCAATAGTATACACAGCACTTCAGTAGCACCGGGCTAATGTAGGTATGTGAGGCTCATTGCGATTTCTTGGTAGGATGAGTACTCAGGCTGATAAAGGTTAAGTGTTCAAGCGAATAGTCAACAAACCAGGTGCAACTTGCAAGCACCCAGAACGAACCAAAGTCTGAACCGGAAGGCATATTTTCTTCGTCCCTCCAACACCACTATTGCAAACTGACAACAACAACAAAAAAAAAACTCCATTGGCCAGGGAGACTTGCACCAAACCGGTCTAGCATTGTCCTACAAATCATCGGAATGGCACCTCTCATATCCATCCCAGCTGACGTGTCATGTCATCTGTAATGATGACTTTACTGGAGTGTCTTGGTGGGAGGGCAGCCGTTCTGTAGCTCGAGCTCCTTTTCAAAACTTAACGAGTGTATCGTTTTAGCAGCCAAGCAAAATTGGTATATGCCATCGAAAATTGGCGGCAAACTTCAATGCCGAAGGCATGAGATGGGCAACGGGTAGGGAAATTCGGTACCTCTGGAGCTATTGGTGGCGGACAACTCTTTCCGTTTGAGGTTGGCCCCCTTTTTCAGTTGAAATTCCCGTCTGATACCCAGGCGAGGCCAGAACACCGGGTGGATTAGGTTATGTTGGGCTACCTAAAAAAAAAAAAAAACATGTTCTTGCCTACTGCCTCCAACAGGAGATAGTGCAATGTATTTTCGAGGTGCCGCACCCCTCCTTGGTCGCTGAAGCGAAACATTCCAGTAGCCCGGTCAGGTCAGCCGTCAGCTGGAGGCCACAGAGAGGGGTGGCGTCTCCCGCCTGGCACTGGATAACGAGCCCAGTAGTCCAGTAACGAGCCAGTCGTCCAGTAACGAGCCCAGTCGTGACCCGGTCGGCCCAGATCGTGATCGAGCCGAGGCCGGTCGGCAGGTGTGGCTGGTACAGAGACGCCCCAGTCCCTCTCATCCCTCCCAGAGACGTGGACACGCCCATTGAGCAACAGACGGGCAAAGTACTCAGCCCGGGTCTGACGTAGTCACTGTGTACGCAGCAACTGGAGTCCCCGACGGGACAGGCAGCGCGGCCATGGAGCGAACGACAGGTACGTCCGTGTTAGTTCGGAGTACAACAGTAATTCCCTGGTGGATACCGGACACACCTAAACGACTACGTCAGTCAGCCGGCCGTAACGACCAGGAAAACTGGCCGCTCCAGTCGACAGAACAATACCCGGTCACGCCCACCTATAACTACACAAACGCGACAGGCGATATTCTGCAAATATGTATTTCACATTCGGCAGTCGGGTGCACGAGCCCACCCAACACAGTACACAAATGAACGCACCAAGAAGTCGGTCGACGCGGCTCGCCGTCCATATACCAGCCTGGCGCACTTACAAAAGCATAAATGTATCAAAGACTATACAACCAACCAGTTAAAGACGGGCGACGGAGGCGACGCCGGCAGAAGCTAACTGTAGCGGGACGTCGTGCTGCGGACAGAAGCGCCGACGACGGGAGCACTACATAACAGAGACGGGGTAGCGCCGCGCCGCGCGCCGTCCCCAGCGGCAGGGGCGGCGGCGGCGGCGGCTGAGAGGCGCAGACGACGGGGCGACGGCCGCCCGCCCGCGCTGGCGTGGACGACACGGAGGGCAGACTAGAACACACTCGTGGCGACCTGGTGGAGGGGAGTGGCTGTCAGTGACGAGATAAGACAATTTGTGGTGAAATATGACCGTCGGTGGTATGTGACATCTGCGAGGAATGGCAATCGGCAGTCTGGGAGAAGGACAGTCTGAATAAAAGACGGTACCGTAAAGTGGGGCTATTTGAGACAGTGGGGCTATTTGAGACAGTATTTAAAATCGCTATAAAATGAAGATCGTTTAATTTTTATGTGATATTTTTGCTCAGGAAGGTGTGGAATCGAGCAGTAAATCGCCTCAGCAAAAATTAAGCATAAATTTCAAACGGTTTTATTTTATAACAATTTTAAATACTGTCTCAAATAGCCCCACTGTCTCAAATAGCCCCACCTTACGGTAACAAATAAGCGACCGCGTGTGACTTTGCGGAGTTCTACTCCCAGGTGGACAAAGGTGATTACAGACGCAAAAGCGCGCAAACTTTTGAGTCAAAAGAACAGTAGCGAGCTATAAGGGTAAAGTACAATTACCCTGTCACGACGTGTAGTCCGAGATATCAGTAACGCTGGGCCGGTAAAGTGCCGGTAAATTTCAACACCATCAAAACATCACGAGTGAAAAACATGCTAGGATACTATCAAGGAGGATAAATCCGTCTGGTTTATAATTAAGACATCAACAGGAATGATTTAATCTCACATAGGTACAGGAAGACTTTAAACACAAAAAGCAAGAGTACCGCACCATTACAGGAAATCAGTGGGGGAAACTGTGGTCAAATCTTCTATTTTTGGAAGCCTTCCATTTTTGGAAGGACCTTCCATAAATGGGTATGCATTTTCCAAAAATGGAAGGCTTCCAAAATTGGAAGGTCTAATCTCAGTGTTCCCAACTGTAATTCACATTCTTTGATTTAAGTTACGGCCTTTTTAAATGTGTAACATTAATAGTTGATTTTGCCATTTATGATCATTGATATAAGGAGAAGCAGCAGTGCTAGTGTTGGTAATACAGGCATGCTATGTCAATGTACATAGTGATATAATAGCATGGTGTCCTGGCGCACTGCTCTCTTTTTCTACTTCTAGAGGACACATAGAAATTCAGAAGAGAAAACAGCTGGTCAATAACCAACCAGGAGGAACACAGCTATAGCCCTGACAAAAAATGGTTTAAATTAAACTTACTAATCCTCATATAAATTGAAGATTCATGCTCCTTCGATAGAAAGTAACACGAAAAACGGCGCAGCAACGCCTATTTAATTCGTCCCATATTCCGGAAAAAAAACATTGAAAAATGACGAGACCTCCACCCAAATGTTTGGCAAAAGCCTTAAAAAATTGAAATCAACCACACAATATGCTAATAAATGCAGAAAACGGCAACAAATACAAGTTTTACTCGCCACTACACTCCCGAAACCGCCGCACTCTGTCCAGACAATTCCGCACTGTAAATAAAGTCGGCGGTATCGAACAAGCATGGCCCGTCACTAAAGTACTTTTAAGGATATTTACTTTTCGTTTTTGATGCTTTTTGCTTACAAAATGTTTGATAAAGTCTTATAAAACCATCGTTTGTCGGTAAATTTTTGTCAATTTTCCACGACTCATTACTTTGAAAAATTACCTAAAATACATCCACGCTAGGATTTAGGCATCCACGCTAGATTATGGACACTTCACTATGGCGAATAGAAAGCGACCAGGGGCGACAGTCGCATTTGCCTCATGTTCGGCGGAAATCGGTAAGTTCCAACATATGCGCAACATTTTCTATATTTGGGTACGATGACGTCGTCAGCGTACCCATTTTTGGAAGGTGCGTACCCATATATAGAAAATCCTTCCAAAAATGGAAGGCTTTCTAAAAATGGAAGATTTGACCACAGTTTCCCCGACTGAAATGGCCTTGTCTAAGACTCCTTGACAGATCAGACCGCGGTATAGAACTGGGACACTGACATTTCTACAAAACATCCGTATGCACTCCTGTGAAAAACCGAAACCAATATCGATGACACCATCGGCATCGACAAACTATCGCTTGAAAGTAATCTTCAAAGCCGATAAACGCAACATCAAAATCCCACATTAGCTCCACATCCTGCAACATTGACGCATTTAGATCCAATAACCTCTGACCCAATCTAGCACGTAATCCACGTCAATTTCTGCGAGTTGCGACCCGTCCCCTATCTCGGATTTCCTGTCCCGTGGTAAATCCCAGATATGTGCGTGAAGTAGTGGCATTTTAGCCAGTGTCCGGCGTAGTGCGTTTCGATACAACATAAACAGTTCCCGGAAAGTGGTCAGCCCACGGCCGGCAAATGACGTATGGGAATCGAGGCGGGACTTGCCCTGGTACATATTCAGGGGCCGTGATCCGGTGGACGCACACAGGAATGTGCGCAATTAATGATGGATGGACGATCAATGCAGAATTGCTTACACGGGTCCGATGGTGTGTCCCATGGGACAAGGTGATGAACATTGGTATGCGTACAGAATTCACCACTAAATCGTAAACTGAGAGGATTTTTTTTTTTTTATAAATTTAGTCCGAACCTTTTGATAGGAAGGATTCACAAGGACAGAGCCACCGCTAAGCGAAGCTTGTTGCGGTGACCCTGCCCTCTACCCTCCGATCGCGCAATTCCAGTTCTATGGCAGAATTTAGAGTCCAAAGTTTAACGTGCGCACATAGCCGCGCACGGCCGGTCCCCTCACTGACTTCACCTGGTTACGGCCTGCCACCAACCGCAACCATACCTGTCAGGAGGCCCATAAATGTCAAGCGCCCGTCGCGCTTCGAACCCGGACTGTTGTAACCGGGAACGCGTGCTCTCACCACGCGGAGTCCAACGCTCTACCAACTGAGCTACGGGACCGGCTAAATATTAAAAGAGGATATTAAACACTCCTAAGTTCACCAGGGACTTCAAAACTTGCGCACTTTTTCCCCAACATTGCCAACATTTCATGAGTTGCTTGCGTGAAAAAAAAAATTATTTCCCCTGAGAGCAGACATTGTTAACGCGATTTGGGAACGTCTTACAACATTGTGTCTGCTTGCATCTAAACATCTCTCGCGACTCGCCGTCACACCGGACAACCCCCCCCCCCCCCCCCCCTCCCGCGGCACGGACATCCTCCCATCCCATCCCCAGCCGGACACTGCCCTCCGCTCTCGGTGAGCGCGTGCTGGCGGCGTCACCACCCCGGACATGTGACCGGTGACGGGTCCCGGCGGGCCGCCCCCGGGCACGGACAATGGCTCTCCGGCCGCGGTTGGTCGCGCTCCGCGTCCATGTGACCGCCACTTCCTGTCCTGTGCGAACAACACGTGGCAACGCGTCCCAGCGAGCGTGCCAATGTGGGTCTCACTCTCCGCGCGTGCCTCTCAGCGAATATGGAACAGTGAACTCGTGGGTGTGCGTTTGGAACGAGTGTGCCCTATTGTCCATCGATAAAAGCGGTCCAACAGTCGCGTGCTGGGCCTGCTGTGCTTTTTTTCGCTTTCGCAACTGTGCGTCACCCAGCGTTTCTCCGTGGGTTATTGTTGTGGCACATTTATGGGCTGCCAGCCGTGACTGTGTTATCTACCCTCCGATCTTTCCGGCCATAACATACAGTCGCGATGCCATCATTCCACCCCTCCTGACCCTTTCACCTTCTGGTGCCTGTCCCCGCCGCTTCCCTTCTAGTACCATTTCCTCTCTGCGCCGCTTGTCATTCTGGCCTTCAGGAGCAAGGAAAAATGAGATGACACACAAGCTAGCCATCGTTGCATGGGCTATTTGCAGTAAGATTAAACTTAGCTACCTGCCTATCCACGCCTTTGCAAAGACACCCACCCAGCGTTAGCTGATCCTTCGCTACAACGCCCAACCCGGCCGTTACGACAGACTTCTGTCACGGCGCCTCTCTCCGCGTCCCGTCACGTTACTCACCGCGTCCGCCCGTCACATCACGTCCACAAAGTAGTCGGGCTGCCTGCCGTCGGGCGCGGCGGCGGCGGCGGCGGCGGCGCCGGGCGGCACGGCCGCCGACCGCTGGCTGGTCACCGTCGTCGCTACTGACTCGGTGCCGTCGCTGCTGGAGCCGCCGCCGCCGCCCGGTCCGCCGCCGGCCGCCGCCGACTCGAGTCTCCGCCGCTGGGAGCCGGCGGAGGAGCCGCCGCTGCCGCTGCCTGTGACCGCAGAACAGAACGGGAGGAGGGTCAGACACTGATTCAACGGAAAACGGGAGTATAACAGTAGTAACATTGAGCAAAGAGGGAGGGAAATAGTCACCATGGGTTAAGGCTGGAAGACAGGTTTCTAGCTTGTAAAACGCGGCTCCGCACCTCTGATTGGAATACATGGCATATTTTCTGTTTTCAACACGTAGCTCGAAAGCTGTGTTCCATGCTCTAGACGGTGACTAATAGCTAGACGATGAACTAAAATTCGACATAAGAACAAACAGTACCAAAAGCACGGGTTAAGCCCCTTGAACGGAAATAGTGCGTTTATGGAAATGACGTTATTTGAATCACACTGGATAAGCTATTTTCCTATACCGTTACTGCGCAGTTTATGTTATTTCCTCAGTTCAACAGTTTGCACTAATCCATAGATTAAACGCTCACACGACAATATGGCAAGGTATTTAGCAACATGCTCGCCTTATCCAACAGCAAAATATCCAACACACCCTTAGAGGTAAGCATACAAACAACAAACAAATCAGGACCAGCAGCACGTAAAGCTAGTGAAGGAAACGGGACCAGTCATTCACTCAGCACCGTATATCTTTAGACACAACGCTATCCTGGTAAAAACCCCGGCGCTGTCCCATGATTCACTGCCGCAGACGGCTCCGTTTCTGGAGACACCAGCTTCCAGGGTTCACTGGCGCCAGTCTGAGGTCAGGGGGTCACCCTCTCATTCCCTAACCACGGGGTCCCTCCCCTTTCCCCTTCCCCGGTCATATGATTAGGGGGGTCGCCTCTCTCTAACCACAGAGCCCCTCTTCCTCCCGGCGGCGGTCAGCTGACCCGCGCTCACCCCTCTCCCCAACCACATCCATCCGTCCGGGCCGTGGAGGCACGACGGGACGGGACGGGGCTGCGGCGGGAAGCCCGGGCGGTTCCTCGCACAATTACGTCACCCGGTACACGGTACTGGAGACGGGCGCGGACTATGTAAACAGATATTCGGCTCGGAGCTGCGCCCGGCAGATATCGACACTGAGGACTGCTCAAAGTGCAATGGGATCGTACGGGATCATCTGAACTGACAAACAATGCCGCTGTACATCCCACTGTTATCGTTTTCCGTGCAGAATCAGAATGGTTTACGCAATAATTTATCGATATTTGAGCCTAAAATGTAACCATATTAAGACGTCCAGTGGACGTAATGTTTATTGTTACGCCGGCAGCGCTGTGATTTACACAACAAACCTGCCGTTTTGCACATCTGCACGTCGAAAATGTGCAGTGAGTGTGTTTTCTCTCAATGCCAATCAGAAGCCGCACTAGAGTTCTGCGAGGCCCGCGCCTTACTGCGGCCATTTTACTACCAGCTGGCAGCTGTTCCCAATGACCGTCACATCTCATCAATTTCCCTTTATCTTAATCACACCTCAAGACACATTGCTGCTTCCACCTCACGTCAAAATCGTGTAAGTATGCCCCGTTGTTAGCCAACTCCCTCACTCCCCATTCCTCGATCAGCATAGACAAGTTTTCGGCTCCGTTTCTTCAGGCCATTCCGCTAAATACTAGTCTTGCCGCTGGGTATGTAAGTTACACCTGTACCATCGCCAGATAGTTCGCTCAGTCGCGCTGTCAGCCTGGGTCCATGGGATCAGAGACTGGATAGACTGACAGACTGTGACTACCGACTGCCACAGTCTCTCCATTCACCCACCTCCTTCCCGCTGACTGAAGCTGCCGGCCTCGTTCGTATAGCTGAACGGCATCGGCGCGTAGCCCTGCGCCGGCGGTACGTATGTACCGCTGTAGGGTACGTGGGGTCCGGCCCACTGTGTGCCCGAGGAGGGCGGCGGCAGCGGACCGAGGGTGTCCCGGTCCACCTCCGACAGGCCGTCCTCATCGCCCAGCTTCATACCGGAGAAACCTGACCGTGGGGAGATAATACGGTTCAAACTAAGGGTAAACGTTGACGGCAAGATGATACGTGGGAGCGCACAGTGGGAGCTGGCTTTTTAACGTCATAACATTACTGGCTTTTTCGTATAATCGGCTGCTATCCTCGCATTGGGGCAATTATAATTGCAGCTTAACTGAAGCTGGTTGGACTGTCTACATTATACATTATACAACCATTCAATATTCACATAACACGACGGTGGCTGCACCACACTGAGCACTGAGCATCAGGTTTGATATACGGAGACGGACAAACGTGGCGACACCTATCGGTTCCGGTGAGCCGGCGCCACGAGCACAACGGAGCCAACTCACCGCTGCAGAGATCTCCGAACACGTAGTAGCACTGCTCGGAGAAGGTGTTCTTGTTGACCGTGTGTCGGATGAAGCCGGCCCGCAGCATGTGGGCGGCGTACTTGCGCGCCTCGCGCCGGTCGGCGAAACCGGTTACGTAGCTGTGTAGCCAGTCGACCACGTCCGAGCCTGGAACACAGACGGACAGGTATTAGTTTAGAGGTCAGATGGTCAAAAGCGGGTTGAGTCCGGGGTTGGAGAGGGTGGGTGGTCAGCTGAACATCGGGGGGGGGGGGGGGGGGGAGGGAGCTGCTGGGAGATCCTCGACGGCCGCGTCCCACCAGCAAAACCGGCCGTCCCCATACAACGACCACCGACAGCCGGCCAGACAGCACCGACCAAGGCGGCGGTGACAGACAGAGAGAAGGCCGACCTCTTCTGCCAGACCTACGCTGCCGTCTCGAGACTGCCCAAACGGAAGCAGGAAGACCATGCCATCAAACTCAGCTCACGCCGCGCCGGGAAGACCTGCGAGTGCGGCGACACCAAGGAAGGGTTCTGCTCCCCCTTCTCCCGCCGCGAGCTACAACACGCCCTCTCCAAGCTGAAGCCCGGAAAGAGCCCCGGCCCGGACATGGTGTCCAACGACATGCTCCGACAACTGAGCCCTACCGGCGAGACGGAGCTGCTCCGGGTCCTAAACCGTAGCTGGACCGAAGGCACGGTCCCCGCCAGCTGGCGCGCCGCAGAGATAGTCGCCATCCCCAAGAAGGGCAAGTCGCCGGCCCTCCCAAGCAGCTACCGGCCAATCAGCCTCCTCAACACCATCAGCAAGCTCGCCGAGAGACTGGTGCAGAACCGGCTCCAACACTGGCTGGAGCGACACAAGAAGCTGAACCCGAACCAGGCCGGCTTCCGCAAGGGACACAGCACGACCGACCAGCTCTTCCGAGTCACCCAATCGATCTTTGACGCCTTCGAACAACCGAAGCACCATCGCGCCATCCTAGTCTTGCTAGACTTCGCCAAGGCCTACGATCGTGTATGGCGGGACGGCCTGTTCCACAAGATGGAGAAGATGGGCATCCCTGGCTGCGCCACGCGGTGGGTGAAGGCCCTGCTCACGGACAGGCGTGCTCGTGTCAGGTGGGGAAACGCCCGCTCATCACAGCGCGTCTTCCAAGAGGGCCTCCCGCAGGGCAGCGTGATGGCGCCGCTACTGTGGCTGATCTATTGCAATGACCTCGATGAAGACATCAACTCCAACACCACCCGCTCTCTCTACGCGGACGATACCGCCCTCCTGGCTACTGGACCTTCGCTGCAGGCGTGCGCCGACCAGCTGCAACCGGATCTGGACCAAGTCGCCCGCTGGCTGGACAAGTGGAAGGTCGAGGCCAGCTCAAGCAAGTGCGTCTTCACCACCTTCTCGCTACACGCCAAGGAGGTCAACGGAAAGGTCGTCCCGACACTGACCTTCAAAGGCGACCAGCTCGCGCACGAGAAGAACCCGACCTTCCTGGGGCTGACCCTGGACAGCCAGCTCACTTTCACCAACCACATCGAGGAAGTGAAGAAGAGGATGGCACAGCGCCGATGCTGTCTGACAGCTCTGGCGGGCAGGTCATACGGCTGTGACCAAGCCACGCTGCGCGCGGCCTACATCGCGTACATCCGCAGCGTGGCCGACTACGGAGCTGCCCTCTACTCCACCCACGCTGCACCCTCCGTGCGGGCCCGGATCGAGGCAGAGCAGCACAAGTGCGCCAGAGTGATCACTGGCTGCATCCGCCTCACAAACTCGGAGACCCTCATCACCGAGGCCGGCCTGCCACCACTCGCAGTGAGAGGCTGGGAAATAGCAGCAATGGAGCAGGAGCGACTCGCCAGACTGCCGCCAGGAGACCCCGCCAGAGCCCTCACCGAGCGACACGTCCGCCCACGCCTCAAGCACAGGGCTCATGAGGCCTGGCAGCGAGCGCGCACTGAGGCCAGAAGACGCGGCGAACCGCCGCCGCCGGACCCCCCGAGCGAGGACACGGCGCTGCCCTTCAAACCGTGCTTCCGGCGGGTCAGTCAGTGGATGGCCAAGGAGGCGGGTCTAGCGGACCTCCCACGGGAACCGCTGGCCCTGGTCCCGGAACAGCCGCCGTGGACCAACCCAGCAGACGCGGTCACCTTCCGCCTCTCCCTCCCGCGCGTCACCAGAAGAGACGACCCACCCGCCGTGAGGAAAGCTGCCGCCCTCGAGGCCATAGCCATGGTCAATCCGGACTGCACCATCTGGTCCGACGGCTCCGCCAAGTCCGGCACCAGGGACGGAGGCGGCGGTGCGCTGATCCAGCTGCACCGGGAGAACCGCGAAGTGGAGACATTGGTACCGGCGGGCTCGGTCTGCAGCAGCATGCGGGCCGAACTCGCAGCGATGTTGGCGGCGTTCACCTGCCTGCTGGCACAACCGGGGGAGACCAGGAGCCGCATCAAGACATGCCTGCTGTGCACCGACTCCCTCTCCGGCCTTCAGCTACTCCAGCGCGGACCGGAGGCCCAGCAGCTGGTCCTCGCCGAGCGCGTCTGGGCCGCGATGGGCTCACTGGGGGAACAGAACACGGCCATCATCCTCCAGTGGGTCCCAGGCCATGCCGACATCGCCGGCAACGAGGCGGCAGACAGGCTGGCTAACCGTGCGGCGGCCGAGTGTGCCCAATCGGAGACGCCCATCGATCTGGCCAGCGCCCGAACCGCCATACGGCAGCGTGCCAGGGAAATGCAGGCCACGCGTGCACACCGGCACCCGCACCCCCAGCCCACACCTGGACTCCAAGACCTCCCGCGCTGGGGGCAAGTGACCGTGTCGCAGCTGCGGACCGGCCACTGCCCCCTGGCACGAGCGACGCTCCACCGCCTGGAGCTCACCCCGGACCCTCTCTGCCGGGAGTGCGGTGCCGAGGACACCGTTCGCCACCTCCTCACCGAGTGCCCAGCATTCGCCACCACGAGACGCCGGCTCTGGGGGGGACCCCTGCCATCCCTCGACGAGGTCCTCTCCGGGCCGGCCGGCAAGATAGTTGAATACATTCGGCGGGTGGGGCGGTCCGAGCCGCCGCTCGACCAGCCCCCGTCCGACGCGCCTGCGGGCGCGTCCACGTGACGTGCGACGAAGAAGAAGAAGAAGCTGCTGGGAGCCATTGGTTTTCCGTTTGACCAAACACAAAGACACGTTGAAGGGCTAACAAATGGGACAGCTCAACTGCAAGTCTGACACAGCGAATGTTGTATGCCTCAAAGCATCAGCTGCTTCAGACGACAAATGTTGAGTAATACTTTACTCTCAGATGCATTTACTCTTAGATGCTTTACTCTTAATCCTTCCGCTCTCCTCAATTCCTAGTCTACTCACCAATGAACGCGTTCGGTATGGTGATCTTCAGCCACATCCTATCCCGCACCTCCAGCCCGCTGTCAGGCGCAGCCATGGCGCGGGCCACGGCCAGCATTCCCGAGTCGACGGTCAGCGGCTCGGCTGGCGGCCCTGCAGACAGGAGGGGCACTGCGACACCGGAGCGCACACCAGGCGGCAGCGGCGGCGGCGGGAGGAGGCGGACGGTGCACAAGCGTCAGACCAAGGCGGAAGCGGTGCCGGCGGCCGAACACAACCAGGCGGTAAGCGTGAGTGGCAGGGTGTGAGCGGGGTGCGGGAGGGGGCGGCAGTGGTTGGCAGTGCCGTAGTAGTAGTGAAGGGTGAATTGTTGGGACGGACAAACTATGGTAGAGGGCGGTGTGTCAGCTAGCGATGCCACAACACCCAGTCAGCAAATGAAAAATAAAAGCGGAGCAACGTGAATTAGACACAAAGTAGGCGGCAGCAGCAGCTGGAGAGGGGACACAAACCAACACAGAGCAGGATTCGACCAGACGGGGTGCGGATAATTAGGTCTGCTAAGAGGGTGGGACGGATGAGAAGGGTAACTGAATGGGGTGGGCAGTGGGCTTGGACCAGCACTGAGCACGAGCAGGGCACGCCAGAGCGCTGAATAGCTAACTAGCGAGGCGAACACAGCAGGACAGCGACAGCACAATACAGCAAAAGCGACGGACAGGCAGCCGGGCCGCGTACTACTCTAGCAGTGTACTAATTCGCTGGGGCGAATATGCCACTCTAAAATTATGGCTTAGGGCATCTTCACGCTTACGTAATACAATCTATGAATGTAAAAAGATGAACCAAGAAATTGAGAAGATTACTATGAAGATGAAAGCAATTAGAGAAGCCTTGATCTAAATATATTGGATGTAAGTCAATCGCAATTACTTTTATCGACAGTAGCGACAAACCCAAACCACCCGTCCTCAAAACCACCATAGCAGAAAAGTCCTGTCCTCTCCCTATCGTTCGCTCCCCTCCCACCTAGCTTCAATCTAGTCCCAAACGACAGCGCCTGACGCTTATACTCACTCTCTGACTCGGGCATACTGCTGGCCAGTGACGAGCTGGTCGACGTCAGCGTTGAGAGGGACGGCTGGCGGGCGCCGGTGAACTGGCCTGGGGAGAACACGAGGGAGGTTAATGGTCAGATGGTCAGATAAAATAGCCTGGTAATAGTTACCACGCGGGAGGATACCAAGGGCGGTTTACCAAACCAAGTTACAGTGGTGATAAGGCTATATTGGCAAACAAGTGAGAATGCACTCATGCAAGAGGAGACCCGAGTCTAATATACTAAAAGGACCAAGAGATCAGCTGAATACCTAACAGCAACACTGAAAGGTCAACGCCGTAACGGGAATATTATTTCAATGGTATCACTAGCTAGTTTCATGCTCTACGTCCTGTTTAATATGAGGACGAGCCTAGTTAACTCAATGACCACAAGAAGCTTCACAGTTGAACACTCATCACCAAGTATCTGCCTGCACATGCACCGTTTGCAATAATCAGTACACGTCACCACCTCGCATCATCACATCACCACTTGACAGCACATATTCCACCACTATCAGCACGTGTTGACTGCCGAAACACGTGTTGACACGTGCTGACACTACGTCCTTTCACTGTCGGCGCGTCCTTTCACTGCTCTGGCGTCGTAAGCACAACGGACACCAAGTCCACAGGGATTGGGACCGCAGGGGTGGGATAAAGGGGCGGGGCCCGTAGACGATCGAGTAAACACAGCTCGGCTGGCGGCCGGCAAAAAGCAGCACCTGCATACACCACAGCGCCGGCCTGTGGCAACAGAGACGTTTTTGCGAAGGATGAGCCTAGAGAGGCAGCACAAGAGGAGCTGATGGCGAGCGCGTTAAAGACGGCTTAGAGCCCGAGATTAACGCACACTGCACAGACCGGTCGAGCATACGAGACCGATCCAACGGCTAGACAGGTTGCTGGTATCAACACCAGCACCTATGGACTAGGGCACTAACAGTCTACACACGTCCCACACTGTGGGACCGTGGGGCCCATGGTACGAGGACAGTGGGCGGCAGGACCGTTTACCCCAGGACTGCTTAGTAGCTTACCCTTGCCTCCGTGGTGGCTGGGCGTGAAAGAGGATGGCGCTCCGATCGAGTACTCGCCTGGAAATAGCGAGAACGAGACGGCGTCAGGGTAGAGGGTAGATGCACAGACTCACATACTGATCAACGCCAGCCAGAGATGAGATGAAAACGAGATGCCCGTGACTCATGGAATGTAATTGTAATGAGATGTTCTTTTAGTGCACCCAGATCATGTCGGTCGTCATGAAGGCCAAGCCCATGGCAGGCGATTCATATGTGAGCGGGACCGCCGGGACAGCAAACCCAGCAGATGCTTATTCCTTCGATGCTCCCCAATGCAAACCAAATCCAAAGCGCCAAAGACAACGCCACCACCTGCAGACCTGCACCCACCCAAACACTCTTCCCTCCTTTCAAACCACCCCATCCCTCCCCTCCCCTCCCCCTCTCTCCCCTTGTTCTCACCTGTCTGGGCCTCACCTCGGCAGGCGGCCGTGTGCGCTACCCAGGCGCCCGGGTCGATCGGACGCACCGGCTCCGTACGAGGGATCGTGAAGTAGCCCTTCGGGTTGGGGTCCCAGCACTTGGCCACCACTAGTTTCACCGGGCCCGGCTTCTGAACCACGTCTCGCAGGACCCGCACAGCATCGTCGTTGGACATGTTCTCAAAGTTGATGTCGTTGACCTGTAGAATCATGTCTCCCGGCTCTATCCGGCCGTCCAGGTTCACGGCGCCGCTGTGGAGAGAGGGGAGGGGCACGGGTTAAAGACGGATTCGCAGTGATAAACATACAAAATTATTCATGACAATTTGTTCATACGCATGCTCCGCACCTGAAATGTCCCCGAAAGTGTTGCAACAGGAGTTGCTATAAACCAGGGGTCGGCAAATGGTGGGGCATGCCCCCTTTGGGGGTAATGGAGCCCTTTCGGTGGGGGTAATGAGGGATTCTGAGAAAGCCTATCTTTTTATAGTTTGTAGCTCCAGTGATGGAGCCATCGTGACTGTTGCATCCCAGGGTTCAAAGATTAGCCCAGGCCAAAGGCACAGCACACATTGATTAGATACAATTTTCATGTACATACCTGCTCGCCTCACCATCTCACCCCTCCGTACAGTCGTACAAAAGCAGCTGCACCGTTGCCCGTCTGTTGGCGTTTCAACAGCCGCTAACGTAAGGGGGAGGAGTCGATCGGACCCCCGCGGCCTCTCGGACTCTGAGATGGAGCTGTGCATAAAAAAGACGAGCGTGCTACCCGTGACAATAGGAAGCCGCTGCTGCCCATTTTTAGGGTCCTTGGTCATTCCGTCTCATTCAAGAGGGCAATGACAAGTGTCGAGAAAATCGGGACCCGCTATAACTTCTTGAAGTGAGATTTTATGGCTCAAGATGATCTCCAGAAAAAGCTCATAAGCCAACGGTCATTATGGGTCCAGAGGCCACTTTCACCAACAGAAAAATAGCCGCCTGCCGGAATTTTTTGCCTAAAGATCGTTTCACATATGGAGCGTAAACGGTAAAGCCCTATCCGCTTACGAGCCCATCGCGTTTCCGCTCCGTATGTGAAGCGGTCTTGAGGCAAAAATTCCGGCAGGCGGTTATTTTTCTTTTGGTAAAACTGGTTTCAGGTCATGATATTTTCCGGGCTGGTAAAAAAAAAAAATGATGGTCTCGAGGGTACAATTTGGTCGTGATCCAATGCCTTTTACGTGAGCTTTTAACGAAAAACCATCCACCGCCCCTATACGTACAACGGTTAAATAGGATATACGCATAGGCGGCGGAACGTGGAGGGCACCGGGGCACCGTGCCCCCTTTGATTTTTGCATTTTGCATTTTTGCATTAGCCTTATGGCGTTGCATGGAAAGAATGGGACCAAAAGTCGGCAGTGCCCCCCCCCCCCTCCCCCTTAAAGGGACAGTATCATCGAAAAAAAAATCAATGTATGGAGCTGATTTTTTTTTTTACTAGCGTTTCTTATTTTTCTGAATCAGAAAAACATAGTTTGAGGACCGAACTCGGTGAAAAATATTTTTTCATGAGCGAGTCATTTTCATGAGCGAACCACCACTACAAGCATGGCCGCCACTTTGGAAGCCTGCGAAATTACTACAGAACTGGCGCAGATAATACATTATTGACGCTACGCTTACGCGGCCGCTCTATTGAGTTGTCGTTAGGGAAAGGCAGCATTAGGTATTGCCCAGAAGATATCACGTGACAAGCTGAAGGAATTCCTTCAAGCTGAAGGAATTCCTTTGTTGAGCCGCTAGAATCCGAAGGAAACAGCGGAAATTGCCTACGACTATTTAATGAATTTAACGGTGATGAATAAGTGCGAAAAACGTTTTGGCTTTATAAAATTTGATGAAATGACCAGGGTACAAGTTTTATTACTGGCGGTCAATTCAAAACGGCGCAAACATTTAAACAGTGAAGATAGTGAAGCACGATTCAAAGTGTAGTATCCGAAGGTTGGGACTTTTCAATTAAGACAAATCACTATTCTTTAGAATTGTGATTTTCTATTGAAAATCCCAACCTGAGCTACCTCTCTAGGGGGGTGTTTAGCGTTTCTGCCGCGATTTGGGTCATTTTGATCGCCGCCGAAACGGCTCGGTAGATTTTCTTGCCATTTTCAGCGTTTGGTCCCGTGTGGGGGAGCTACCGGCTGGTACCGGTCGCTTGAAATATAATTAACCCGTTTTGGGGTAATCGGCACGTGCATTTTCCCATAGGGTTAACATGGGGAAAAATTAAAAATGCGATTTGCGCAAAATCTGTTCAGTAATATTTGTCCACTTTTTTAGGGTCAGTTCTTGGGCTGGCACCTCACCTTCTGGGGGTAATTATTTAAAAATCATAGGGTACAGTTTCGGGTAATCGTGACGGACAGTTACCCCATGTTGAGCCTATGGCGATTTCGAAAAATTATTTTCAAATCGATTTTGCAAAAAATTTCCACGTTAGATTTTGAAAATGTTCCAATATGTTGTGCCCCGGGGTGTCGGCTACCACATGGTATGGGTCAGATATGGGGCGATTGAAAAGCACGTGCCACGTGCAAACGTGTTTGATGGGGTAACCTCCGGGAAAATCCGACATTGTCCAACTGGGGGTCCTATGGCGCGGAAACGACTTCATCTAGCGACACCAAATCAATGCAGCCGGTGAGCAGATGAGTCCAGCTTGTCGCACCAGTGGTCACGTGGCGCACGTGCTATTGCACGTGCCGTGGCACGGGGTCAATTTTTGTTCTTAAATACACCAACATTGTGAAATGCAAGGAATGGGGGAAATAGCCGTCAGGCCGTCAGTTTTTATGATAGAGTCGATCTGAAAACGGGTGTAGACACAGAATGAACGGCGCTAAAAAACTGCTATCTCGGATTTTTTGTAAAACGAAAAATTTAAAATTCTAGGGAAATTATATATTAGAAAGGTGAAATTTCCCTAAATTTTCCCGTTTTTCAAGTTTAGCCGTCCACTGTTCAGTGACGATGACACCGGCCGGGGTCATCTTTTACATGCTAATGGCCACGTCGATGGGTCATCACGTGGCGTGAACGGTGAAGCTGTCAGAGGTCCGGCACGTGCCACGTGGCCACGTGTTTGAGTCACGTACCTCCCAGATTATCGTGTGTTTGCCGACTTGTGGCCTTATAGCACGAAAACAGCACCAGTCAGGAAGCCTGAAAGGGCACAATCGGTGAGGGGACAAGTCCTGCTTGTACCACCGGTGGTCACGTGGCACACGTGTTCAGCTGGGCTCCTCCTTTGCGGAGATATTTTATCGTGAAATATTCAAATGTCCATAACTTTCTCAAATATGGTCCGATTGGGTTCAAATTTGGTGGGTGGCTGCATTGTTAAGCGTCAATGACAACTGAGCCGCGTTTGATGCACCGCGCCACATTTGTCATTATGCGCCATAATCGCCCGAAATCGCAAAATGTTTGTAACTTTGTCAAACATGATCCGATTTGGATTCAATTTTGGGGACGGATGCACAACACATACAAAGGACTGCCCTTGCCGCAATGCGCCACAATTGTAACAGTGCGCCATTTATGCCGCAAAACGCACCAGTCCACAACTTTGCCAAATAGGGGCAACACTATTCGACCGCCACCCTTGCAGCATTCTATAACTCAGGAACCACTGGACCGATCGGGATGAACGAAACACCATTCGAATTAGGGGATACGATTTTGTCAGCCGTTTCGATGATGATGACCTCAAGTGACCTGCACCTGGGTAACCTCAAAAGGTCAACTTGGCATTAGCCGTTTTCACGACGGGCTATCCGGCGAGTGCACCTTATTTGACCAAATCTGCACGTAATCTCTGGTGCAGCAAATATCTTCATTTTATGAATTTATAATTTTAATCGATGATACTCTCTGATATGACAAAGCAGGCCTAGGTATAAGTAATTATTGCAACCCTAGCTGATAGCTACTAAGAGATACACTGAACCTAATTTGACCAAATCTGCACCTAATCTGCACCAAATGTGTATCAGATGGCCGTCGTGAAAACGGCTATTGACGCGCCTATTGCAGCCATTCTATAACTCAGGAACTACTGGGCCGATCGAGACGAAAACGCCACCAGTCGACTCAGCGTATGCGATTTCATCAGCCGTTTCGAAAATGGTGATCTCAGCCTCTCAGGTGACCTCGGTGACCTTGGGAGGTCACATGACCGTTGTCGCCTATGGCAGCCATTCTATAACTCAGGAACTACTGGGCCGATCGATGCTTGCATGATGCTGCGTGATGCTGCGTGATTGTCGTATCAAAGAGCCCTCAGCAGGCCGCAAAGGGCTCTCAACTGACGTCAAACGGCCCTACGAAGGCCTCAAAGGACTCTTAGTTGGTGTCAGAGGGCCCCCAGCAGGTGTCAGAGGACCCTCAGCTGACATCAAATGGCCCTCAGCTGGCGTCAAATGGCGGTCAGAAGGCCTTAAAGGTAGTGTGCCACCTTTGAAAGATTTCCCATTTTATTTTTCCTAGGATAAGAAGCTTCTGTTTTTACCTAATATCGTAAAAAAATCAAAAATGGGCCTGGAATAGTGCCTTTTTCGCCTAAAAGTTTTTCGGTTTTTAGATATGTATAACAACTGTAGTGGGCTCACCTGCAAACAGGCGTCGGGCAACAATCGCGAATGCGGCGCACTTGTGACAATAAGCAAAGGTCATTATAGTGTTACGACCATACGACGTACGGGAATGAGTTATCAGCTGTCTAATCGTAGACAACACAATGTCGAGCCTTAAACTGTAAGCCCGTATTGGTATTGTTTCTTTTATTTGGCTGTCGAACATTATTTATGGTTTGAAATATGATTTTATGTAAAATAATTGATATGAAAAAGCCGTCTTATAAGTTATGACCCCATTTCACCACACGCAAGTGGCAGAAATGACAATGATCAGCTGACGCATTTTTCTTGGCCGAAGTCAGAGCGCGCGGCCCGACGCACCACGCGTATTTGGAAATTCCGACCTCGACGAGCATCAGAAGCCACCTAACAGGCTTGTTCGAAACCGCAGGAGATGATGATGAACGGGTTTATCGAAACTTGATTGGATGAGCATATCGGTAATAGCGATTTCAGTGTGTGCATTTATTGTTCAAAGTGGTGTGAAATGTGGTTGGGGTACGACCGACAACCCGTCGGGGCGAATTTCGCACTGGGGTACTCAAAATTTGAAGAATTTAAGACGTTTCCATGAGTTTTGAAGGTATGGATAAGTTCTAAAAATCCGGTTCTCCTTAT